AAATGTTAGCTACTGTGATCTATAGATCTTTCCAGAGCGGTAAAAGTGGTACGCTGCTTGGACTTGAGCCCAGGAGTTGGAGACTAATGAGACCCAGGCTCTACTAAACATAAAAAAAAACAGCCTCGTGTGGTGGCACACACCTGTGGTCCCACCTGCTCAGAAGGCTGAGGCAGGAGGATTGTTTGAGCCCAGGAGTTTGAAGCTTCAGTGAGCTATGATCATGCCACTGCACTCCAGCCTGGTGACAGTGAGACCCTGTCTCAAAACAAAAAAAAAAAAGAAGAAAGAAAACCTTTAGGAACAGTAGTATGACCTGTATTACTTTTGACTAACCAATTGTGATTAAAACTTTGCAAAATAGTTTGCTAATATTTTTATTATACCTTCATTATGCTGTATTGTATTTGGTTCTCACGTGCTATTATTCCAGTAATTATGCCTTCATTATGCTGTATTGTATTTGGTTCACTTGTGCTATTATTCCAGTAAGAACAGCATTGAAGCTTTTTTTTTTTTTTTGCTTTTTGTGTTTTTAGACAGAGTCTGGCTTTGTCACCCAGGCTAGAGTGCAGTGGTGTAATCTCGGTTCACTGCAACCTCTGCCTCCTGGGTTCAAGTGGTTCTTCTGCCTCAGCCTCCCCAGTAGCTGAGATTACAGGTGCCCACCACCAGGCCTAGCTACTTTTTGTATTTTTAGTAGAGATGGGGTTTCATCATGTTGGCCGGGCTGGTCTCGAACTCGTGACCTCAGGTGATCCTCCCGCCTCGGCTTCCCAGAGTGCTGAGGTTACAGGCGTGAGCCACTCTGCCCAGCCTGATGAAGCATATTTTAATCTGTTTCACAGTTTTGCTTTCTCTGGCAAGATTACCTCCTGGTTGTTATATGTGACCACTCATTAGTGTCTTCTAGGCAACTACATATATTTTTAATGTGATGTGCTCTAGCAAAACAATGTCTACAATACAGCCATCTCATGCCCACAAGTATTAATACAGGTGTGAGTGTGAGGTTGATTCCAGGACCATGAAGAGGTGACAGATTTTAATTAATTAACTAATTTTTCAGAGACAAGGGCTTGCTCTGTTACCCAGGGTGGAGAACAGTGGCATGATCACAGCACACTGTAACCTTGAAATCCTGAGCTCAAATGATCCTCCCGCCTCAGCCTCCCAAGTAGCTGGGACTGTAAGCATGCACCACCACACCCAGCCAGATTTTAGTAAATATAAATATTTTATCTGAAATTTTTAAGAATATTTAATATTTTAAGGAATATTTAATGTTAAACATTTATGAAATACAAATAGCATAAGTTAACTCTTCTAGCCTTCCACATTTACTTACTTGAGTTTCTTTTCCCCTCAAAATAAATTCTCAGTTACCACTTATACTTAGATACAAACATCTGGTGTTTAACATTTTGTTTCTTTTATTATGCTTTTGGTTTTTGTGTGTTTTTTTGAGATGGATTCTCATTCTGTTGCCCAGGCTGGAGTGCAGTGGCGTGATCTTACCTCACTGCAACCTCCGCCTCCCAGGTTCAAGCGATTCACCTGCCTCAGCCTCCCAAGTAGCTGGGATTACAGGCAGGCGCCACCATGGCAGGCTAATTTTTATATTTTTAGTAGAGACAGGGTTTCAAATTGTTGGCCAGGCTGGTCTTGAACTCCTGACCTCAGGTGATCCACCCGCCTCGGCCTCCCAAAGTGCTGGGATTACAGGCGTGAGCCAATGTGCCCAGCCTATTATGCTTTTTAAAAAACTACAGCAGGCTGGGTGTGGTGGCTCATGCCTGTAATCCCAGCACTTTGGGAGGCTGAGGTGGGCAGATCATTTGAGGTCAGGAGTTTGAGACCAGCCTGGCCAACATGGTGAAACCCAGTCTCTACTAAAAACACAAAAACTAGCTGGGCATGGTGGCGTGCGCTTGTAATCCCAGCTACTGGGGAGGTTGAGGCAGGAGACTCACTTGAACCCAGGAGGCGGAGGTTGCAGTGAGCTGAGATCACATCACTGCACTCCAGCCTGGGAAACAGTGAGACTCAGCCTCGGGAAAAGAAAAAAATTGTGTTTTGGTGAGGAGGGTCCTGTAGCTAAGGGCAGAGATGCTGTGACCAAGTGTCCCACCCCAGGGATTGCATCCTCTGTGTGGGTAAGCAACGTAGAGTGAGCCTGGAGTGCAGACTGTCAGCCTTTGAGGTTTCAGGTTGTGTTTTAGAGTGGACCTCGATGCCCAGCTCTAGCCAGCTAACTCTAGTGGTAAATGTTTGGGGGAAACACCCGTTATTTGTTGTAGTTACATGCAAGGAGCTGGGCAAGTGACACATGGTATTCATATATATATTTTTAAACTAGTCTTACTCTGTTGCTCAGGCTGTAGTGCAGTGGCACGATCGTGGCTCACTGCAACCTCCTTCCCCGGGGTTCAAGCAATTCTCCTGCCTCAGCCTCTCAAGTAGCCGGGACTACAGGCATGCACCACCATGCCCCGCTAATTTTGTATTTTTGCTCGAGACGGAGTTTTGCCATGCTGGCCAGGCTGGTCTGGAACGCCTGACCTCAGGTGATCCGCTTGCCTCAGCCGTCAAAAGTGCTGGGATTACAGGCTTGAGCCGCCGAGCCTGGCCAGAGAAATTTTAAAAAGAAATAGGCCGGGCGCGGTAGCTCACACCTGTAATCCCAAGACTTTGGGAGGCCGAGGAGGGAGGATCGCTTGAGCCCAGGAACGGGAGCCCCCCCATCTCTATTTAAAAACATAAATAAAAATTAAAAATAAAATAAAAACAAGGTGCAAAGACTCATTTTGTTACTCATGGTTGCATTTTAATTGAGAATATAAGTAGTCTTGGCCGGGTGTGGTGGCTCACGCCTGTAATCCCAACACTTTGGGAGGCCGAGGTGGGCGGATCACGAGGTCATCTTGGCTAATACGGTGAAACCCCGTCTCTACTAAAAATACAAAAAATTAGCTGGGTGTGGTGGCGGGCGCCTGTAGTCCTAGCTACTTGGGAGGCTGAGGCAGGAGAATGCTGTGAACCCAGGAGGCGGAGCTTGCACTAAGCCGAGATCGTGCCACTGCACTCCAGCCCAGGCGACCGAGAGAGACTCCATCTCAAAAAAAAAAAAAGAATATAAGTAGTCTTTGAAGTTCTTTTGGGACCTACAATGCTGCAAGCGCATAATGCCAAACGTGGATTTCAAAAGAGGCCCCCCGACGGGGTTTTATTAATTGCAAAATCAGTGCAGCGGTCCCTTGCTTCCCTCACCTACCCTTAGATCCTAAGTGGTGGTGGCGGCAGCGCGGAGCAGCTTCTGAAGGTCCAGGAGCTTAAAGCGGAGGTGCCACGGGGCGCGGCTTTGCGGAAAAAGCAAAAGCTCACTCCGCACCGTGCACTTCTCGGAATACAGGCGCTGAGCCCCCGGAGGAGGAGAGGGCTGGTTCCGGGAGCCCCTCCCCTGGGGCGGGGCCAAAGCGTCCTCCCAGCCCGGCTTTGCAGAACAGAGATCTGGTGTCTCCAGTTTACAGAAGCACTTGCAGAGCTCATCAGAAGCCACCCTGCTTATCAGCAGATTTCAAGAGAGCGTTCAGTGGAGGCCCTGAGTCTGCACAGTTCACCTCCCTGGGAACTGCTCGCCTGAGCATTGGAGCCGGCGCTGGCCCCCTGCAGCCTAAAGGAGCCCCGGAGGTCCAGGACACAGCGTGAGTCCTGGCTTGTGCTTTCCCTGCACCCAACTTTCTGATTTTGCCGACTTTCCTTTTCCTCTTCCAGGCTTCCTCGCTGAGTCTACATTTCTTCTTAATCGCATAGGCAGATCATTTCCTAGAATCTTCAGGCTTGCTTTTCATTGATTTATGTTTTGGGTAACTTCACTTGTCTAATCTTACAGCAGCCGCATGTTGCCAAACAGCATGAATGAATGATGCAATCCCTTGCACACAGGAGCACCCTCAGTGCAAGACTGGGGCAATCCCCAAACTCAGAGTTGAAGTGTCCGAGTTTGTCTTCTTTCCCATTAGAATTAGAATTTTAAAATAAGTACTTACCAGATACATTGTTATAACGATACAACGTCAAGTTGGGAATTAAATCATGTTTTCATTCATTAAATATATTTACTATATTTTATTTTCTTTTTAATTTTTTTTTTTTTTTGACAGAGTCTCATTCTGTTGCCCAGGCTGGAGTGCAGTGGCGCGATCTCGGCTCACTCCAACCTCCACCTACAGGGTTCAAAGGATTCTCCTGCCTCAGCCTCCCGAGTAGATGGGTGTGGGCCACTATGCCCAACTAATTTTTTAATTTTTGTATTTTTAGTAGAGACAGGGTTTCACCATGTTAGCCAGCCTGGTCTCAAACTCCTGGCCTCAAGCGATCCACCTGCCTCTACCTCCCAAAGAGCTGGGATTACAAGCATGACCACTGTACCTGGCCACTATATTTTCTTTATGTATGATTTGCATATTATTACTTTTTAAATATTTGATGACTGATATTGGAATGAGGATCAGGGAGGAAAATAATAAAATCCAAGATTTCTGTATTACAGTGCCAAGTAGGTTTTCAATATCATGACCATAGCCCTGTCACTATCATGTTGGTGAAACAAAGTAGTCAGGACTTTTAAAATTTTCAAATGATTTAATATATGCTTCCTTTCCTTCTTCTTTCCTTCTTTTTTTTTTTTTTTTTTTTTTTTTTTAAGAGACAGCGGGTCTCTGGTCACCCAGGCTAGGAGTGTAGCGGTGCAATCATAGTCACTGGAATCAAACTCTGAGCTTCAAGTGATCCTCCTGCCTCAGCCTCCAAGTAGGCTGGGAACTACAAGATGCACCACCATTGCCTGCTCAGCTCCATTTTTTATTTTTTGTAGAGATGGCATTTCCACATGCGCCCAGGCTGACCCTGGACTCCTGGCTCAAGGATCCTCCCTCCTCAGGCCTTCCCAAAGTGCTGGGATTATAGGTGTGAGTCCCCATGCCCAACCTTTTTTTTTTTTCTTTTTTCTCTTTTGAGATGGAGTCTTGCTCTGTCGCCCAGGTTTTTTTTCAGTGGTGAGATCTTGACTCACCGTGGCAAGCTCTGCCTCCTGGGTACACGCCATTCTCCTGCCTCAGCCTCCCTAGTAGCTGGGACTACAGGTGCCTGGTACCAGGCCTGGCTAATTTTTTTTTGTATTTTTAGTAGAGACGGGGTTTCACCATGTTAGTCAGGATGGTCCCGATCTCCTGACCTTGTGATCCGCCCATCTCGGCCTCCCAAATGGTGCTGGGATTACAGGCGTGAGCCACGCCCGGCCTTTTTTATTTTTTAGAAAATCCTTGGACTAGAATTAGGGTTAAAGGGATCCTCAAGGTTGCCTAGATTTTTTTTCCATGAGAGACTTTTTTAAAACTAGTGTTTTATTGATATATAATTATTTTTTTTAAAATGCACTCTTTAAGTGCACATTTTGATGAATTTTGATAAATTTTTTTTTTTTTGTAATTATCACCACAATAACATTTCCATCACCCATAAGTTTCCTTTTTTTTTTTTCCAGTCAGCCCCTTGTCCCAACTCCTAGCCCTACTGATCTGATTTTTTTTTTTATAGCATTTGTATTTTCTAGTGTTTCTTCTTTTTTTTTTTGAGATTTTTTTTCGCTCTGTCACCCAGGCTGGAGTGCAATGGTGCAATCTCAGCTCACTTTTTTTTCTGCCTCCTGGGTTCAAGAGATCCTCCTGCCTCAACCTCCCGAGTATTTTTTTTTACAGGTGCCCGCCACCACGCCTGGATAATTTTTTTGTATTTTTAGTTTTTTTTGGGTTTTACCATATTGGCCAGGCTGGTCTCAAACTCCTGACCTCGTTTTTTTTTCACCTTGGCCTCCCAAAGTGCTGGGATTACAGGCATGAGACACCGTTTTTTTTTTCTAGTGTTTCATATAACTGAAACCATACAGTATGTGCTCTTGTGTTTTTTTTTTTTCCATCAGTATAATTATTTATTTGTTTATTTATTTTGAGACAGAATTTTGCTCTTGTTGCCCAGGCTGGAGTGCAGTGGCGCGATCTCAGCTCACTGCTTTTTTTTCCTTCAGGGTTCACCAATTCTCCTGCCTCAGTCTCCCTGGTAGCTGTTTTTTTTAGCATGGTGGCCCAGCTAATTTTTTATTTTTAATAGAGACAGGGTTTCACCATGTTGGTCAGGCTGGTTTCAAACTTTTGACATCAGGTGATCCGCCCACTTTTTTTTCCCAATGTGCTGGGATTACAGGCATGAGTCACCGTGCCCGGCCTTGTTTTTTTTTATGGTAAGTATATGTTTATAAGAAACTGCAGGCCCACTGTGGTGGTTTTTTTTTGTCATCTCAACACTTTGGGAGGCCGATGTGGGAGGATCCCTTGAGTTTTTTTTTTCAAGGTCAGCCTGGGCAACATAGCGAGACCCTGTTTCTACAAAATTTTTTTTATTAGCAGGGCATAATGGTGTGCATCTGTAGTCCCTGCTACTCGGGTTTTTTTTGCAGGATAATTGCTTAAGCCCAGGAGTTCTAGGATGCAGTAAGCTATTTTTTTTTGGCTGTATTCCAGCCTGGGCAACAGAGCAAGACCCTATCTCAGAGTTTTTTTTACACACACACCTGTTGTCTTTGCTCCCTTGTAATTGGGCAGCAGATTTTTTTTTTGATTCATCTTGGAAGGCTGTTGTCTCTGTTCCCTCATTATATTTATTTTTTTTTTGTTTATTTATTTATTTATTTATTTTGAGATGGAGTCTCGCTCTATTTTTTTTGCTGGAGTGCAGAGGCACGATCTTGGCTCACTGCAGACTCTGCTTCCGGGGTTTATCAAGTAGTTCTCCTACCTCAGCCTCCCGAGTAGCTGGGACCACATTTTTTTTCCACCATACCTGGCTAATTTTTTTTTTTTTTTTACAGAGTCTCTCTTTTTTTTTGGCTGGAGTGAAATGGTATGATCTTGGCTCACTGCAGCCTCTGCCCTTTTTTTTCAAGCGATTCTCCTGGCTCAGCCTTTCAAATAGCTGGGATTACAGGTTTTTTTTGTTACCAGCAGGCTAATTATTGTATTTTTAGTAGAGATGGGGTTTTACCATGTTGGCCAGGCTGGTCTCGAACTCCTGACCTCAAGTGGCCCATCTGCCTTTTTTTTTCAAAGTATTGGGATTACAGGCATCAACCACCGCACCCGCCCAAGTCTTTTTTTTTGTCTATGCATTTAGTTCTCCCAAGAGATTCTCTTTCCCTCTCCCTTTTTTTTTTACCCTGCTAATCAGGTATATGTGATTTCCTGTCAGACCTGAACCTTTTTTTTTTGAAGCCATAGAAAAGAGTATGTTGACTCTACAGTGATTGAAGGGGTTTTTTTTAAAGCATTTCGCAGAGGAAGCAGTCTTAGGAAATTTTGCCTCTGACTTTTTTTTGTGCCAGTCGTACCAGGAGAGAGAGTGAAGCCAGACAGCCTCCCTCTTTTTTTTTTTGTGTGTGGACTACGATGTTCATTTCCTCATTCTCTCTTTCTAGTTTTTTTTTCTTGCAGAATCCACGGTCTTTCTTGAAGAAATCTGTAGTCAGAACTTTTTTTTGCATTTTTATCTAGGGAAGGAACAGGAAGAGAAGAGTGTGGTCTACTTTTTTTTTAGCACTGGAGACACGTGAGTCTGATTTGCCTTTTCTTGGTTTTTTTTTTTTTTATTGGAATGTTTTTATGCATTGAACTGTTAAACGTTTGTCTATCTGTTTTTTTTTCACTCTTTTTTGAGACAGAGTCTTGCTCTGTCACCTGGGCTGGAGTGCAGTGGTGCGATCTTGGCTTACTGCAACCTCCACCTCCTGGGTTCAAGTGATTCTCCTGTCTCAGCCTCCTGAGTAGCTGGGATTACAGGTGCGGGCCACCACACCTTTTTTTTTTTTATATATTTAGTAGAGACAGGGTTTCGCCATGTCGGCCAGGCTTTTTTTTTACTCCCGACCTCAGGTCATCCATCTGCCTCGGCCTCCCAAAGTGCTTTTTTTTTAGGCGTGAGCCACCGCGCCCGGCCGGCATTTACTCCTCACCTGAATTTTTTTTTTTGATGTCAACTATGTGGCATGCAGAAGATCTCAGCTTCCCAGAATTTTTTTTTATATTATGTATCATTTCAACTTTTATTTTAGCTTCAAGGAGTACATTTTTTTTTTTGTTACATGGGTATATCACATGATGCTGAGGTTTGGGGTATGATTTTTTTTTTCACCCAGGGTTTGAGCACGGTACCCAGTAGGTAGTTTCTCAGTCTTTTTTTTTTTTCCGCTGCTTTCTTGTAGTCCTCAGTATCCTTTTTTTTGTTTGTTTTTTTTTTTTACACAGTCTCGCTCTGTCGCCCAGACTGGAACACAATGGTGTGATTTTTTTTCACTGCAACCTCCACCTCCTGGGGTCAAGTGATTCTCCTGCCTTAGTTTTTTTTGTAGCTGGGATTACAGGTGCCCACCACCATGCCTGGCTAATTTTTGTTTTTTTTGTAGGGACAGGGTTTCACCATGTTGGCCATGCTGGTCTCGAACTCCTTTTTTTTAGTGAGTTGCCCGCCTCGGCCTCCCAAAGTGCTGGGATTACAGGTGTTTTTTTTTGCACGTGGCCATTACTGTGTTTTTCCCGTCTTTGTATCCACATGTTTTTTTTTTAGCTCCCACTTTTAAGTGAGAACTATGTGGTAT